AATATGAAAAGTAAATAAGGAAGGGCATAATAATGGGTGCACCGCTGGCGTTTGTAGCGGTTGGAGGCGATACAAGTTGCAAAGTTAAACAACTTTCACTTGAAGAGGGTCTTCTTGGCTTGGCGGGACAGCCTGGCGTCCTTATCTTTACGCCTTCCTCTTTCCCTCCCTCTATTACCATTCTACCCCTCTTCGCCTCACCTATTCACCTATTTGTATTAGAGACGGAGTAGATGGTCGGTCTTCTCAATATAATAAAGTTAGAGTAAAATACATTTTTGGTCCGTACGGTTTATCCAAGTTCTTACTTTTTGTCATGGTATCGGTCTTTGTTATGGGTGGTCCTTGTAGAGGATTTTGGTAAAACTAGTAGTCTTGCATTATTAGATCAAACATCCTAACGGTTATATTTGCAGAATATGACTAATTCACCCTTGTGTTTATCTCCTTTTATTGCTTATTATCTACTTATTAGAACTACTAATCATTACTATTAATTACAATTGGCCACCATCAATACCTCAACCACAACCATAACCTCCATGATACCACCCACCACCATTACAACCACCACACCACCTCACCACAAACTATTCAAAAATATGGAAAAATTGGCCTACATGACGTTTACTTATCCAAACGTCAGGTAAAAATGAATAAAATGCACTTAACTGAAAACATGTGTCTTTTTAATACATTTGGATTAAATCAAACAGCTACCACAATCACAACAACCATTACTGCTGCCACCACCTTCACAACCACCATCATGTAGCCGCCACCACTCCCTCACTGTTGTTGCCGCCACCAACCTGTTGTCGTCATAACCCTCACAACCATCATCCTTATATCGCCACCATCACAACAACCACCATCCCAATTTACATAACCATCACAAACACCTGTCACAACAAGTAATGTACATGTTCCAACTTACTTATAATTCATTAACAACAAAGCACACAAACAATCCAATGGAACATTAAAAACAAAAAACTGGACACAACAAATGTAACCAAACTTGATAGCTTTTATGTTTAAAGCATACATTGTTTCTAATAAAAACAAGGACAAAAACACACAAGGGAAACATAACAAATATCTTGGTTACAAACATTACCAAATAGAACAATATTTCCATGATAACAACAACGAGAAGTATCTCTTGGAATAAATCCATACATCATTGTCCCATTCTTGGTGAACCCTTAAGATTTCCAATGGAAACAAAATTTCTTTCCTTGGATGTTGAAAATATACACAAAGTATTTTCTCCTTATTTTCAGCAAAATCTTTCCCGCCAACCACCAATCCATGTGGTTTGTATCCACAATATCCCCCAGAGACAAGTCACTCAACAAAATTTCATAATGAATCAGCTTGATATACTCTTATTTGATAACCTCTCGAAGTGGACCCAAACTATATCTTTTAGAAGTGTTTGATGGAAAGTAGTAGGATTCTACAAACTCCACTTCGATTTTGGACACTTCAACTTTATCGTCACTTACAATGATATGACTTGATTCAGTTCCGAAACAAATGTAATATCAAAACTTAAATGAAAACATAAGTGATTTCAATTCTTACAATTCGATTTATAACCTTGACCTAAAATAATCCAAAATCAAATTCAATTAATAACCTAAAATGCATGTAATTCCATTTCAATATATCAAAGCCTATAATTCCATTTTCATTTATTGACCAAATGCAATTTAACTTCAATCCAGAAACAGGAACTATACATTTAATTAGAATCAAAATTGGAGAAGGGAAAAAGAACTCATAATTAACTAAAATCAGAGAGGTCATAACATTTACATGTGTTGATGTCGGTGACGAAGGTTGACATGTTGGTAGTGATGCCAGCAAGCCTTTGGCGGAGCTTAATGGAGAGGTGGTTGGTAACGGAGGTGGAGATCGTTGTTGATAATGAAGGCAAAGACCGATGCCAATGGTGGTAACAAAGACAACGATTAGAGCCGATGGTGGTGTCGAGATGTGAATGTATGAGGTTAGGAAGAAGAAAATGATCGTCACCTTCTTCCACCTTAAGGTTTTATCAAATATAACTTGAGGCATTTTAGTCTTTTCATCGTGCTAGTAACGGAGCTTAACAAAGGGTACGGTTCCGGTTCCAGGGACCACAAGTGTTACCAAAACCTTCCACATGGACCGCCTATGACAAAAAGCCAATACTAGGACCAAAAGTAAAAATTTAGGCAAACCATAGGGACCAGAACTGTATTTTACTCTAAAGTCTATATCTTAAGTTTGGTTTTTTATATTTTTAATAAACTGAATTTTAAAAATTAACATTACGCGTATTAATAATTAGACAAAGTTTAAACATGTTTATACTCTATCATATATTTTCTTTATAACAAACGAAAAACCAACATTATTGTCCCTTTCCTTAGGTCTCATCACACTACACATATAAATGAGAGACACCATTTTCATTCGAAAATATATGTTCTATAAACGGTCAAATTACAACCAATGCTATCACGAATATCTAAGGCTTATGGGAGTGGAGTGCGGTTTAGGCCGCACTCAATGCCACATAGGGAGGAACACCGTCCCCTCTATGCGGTTTTGGGTGCGGTTTGGCCGCACCTCTCCCAAAAACTGCCGCACCCTCCTTCCTCTCTCTCTCTCTTTATTCATGTGTCTTTCTCTCTTTTCTCCTTTCTCTCACCTCTCTCTTTCTCTACCATGGTTTCCACTCCCTGGGTGTGTGGTAAAGAACCACACTTTATGTGGTAAAAATGATGTGGCTCCTACGTGTCAAAGGAGAGAGTGCGGTTCTTGTGGCACCACTCCCTCCAGCCTAACACCACTCAAGAGATGAGGTAGTTCTAATGGTTCTTCACGTTTTTTAAACGATATCATATTTGGAGATTTTACCTGCAACATGTATTTCTGAGATCAACAAATACTTGACCTTTTGACATGCACCACGTGTGTCTTAAATCAACAAACACATGGCGATGAAGTATATTGACAATTCGATGAATGAGTTTATAAAACATGTTTATACTATGATATACATTTGAGCTAGTACCAAAGCTCTTTTTATCTTATAAACTTGTGAAACAATTAATCCACAAGGACCACGACAATACATGATAGCATCAAGAGTTTTGCATTCAAACTTCCAACATCTTATTACTGAACATAATTGTTTTTCAACAATACATGAAAGGGTAACGTGCATTGTCCTTATAATCATTCTAAGTGACACTTTGTAACATCATTTAATTTCCCAAATTAATGAGTCAATTTCTGATTAAAAAAATTAACGTTATTTAATAAATGTTTAAAAAGATACCATAAACTAAGTTGAGCTATAATGAGGTAGCTATAATCATAGTATAAAGCAATCGAGTTGACAAAACAATCTAAATACTTAATAATAAAATGAGAGACTCATGTTTTAACCTTTTTGTGTTATAACTTATTTATTATGTGGATTGCTCCTTTTTTACTTGTATGTAGGTTTATGTTCCATGTCTAGTATGATCAATGATTGTTTATGCAACCGATTTTGCCTGATATAAAAATGTGATTTTAAACGAAATATATAATCAAATTTTATTCTATATAAAAATATACATCATTATAACTACACACCGGTTACATAATAAAATCACACCAGGTGATACTTATTTATCAATAAAGTTTCACTTTTATTGATATCTGCAATAAGATTTAACTTTTTTTATATAATATTTAAGTAAAAGTGATATATACTTTTTTACTACGCAATTAATGTGGTAAAATATTATATATGCCTTGGTTCTAATATAAAATATAATTATATATTTAACATTTAAAAAAAAAATCTTACCTAAATTAAAAGGAAAAACAAATACTATTATGAAATGAGATGTACAATATTCACATAAAAAAATGGTCACGAGGATTTCCATTTTCACGATATTGACATCAGATCGTCAGTTCCAGGTTTACAGTATCCGTTACCACCAGCTTGTCACATCCAATTTTACGGTTAAACGAAAACGACCAACGTCAATGGCATCTCGGTAAATAATAATAAACTCGGTGGCTTTTCTACAATGTTGGTTATTTGTATTGCCATCCAATTTTACCCCTTGCATAATTTTTATATTACACTTTTTCCTCTAAACAATTTACTAATGGATTATGGGTGTGTGATTTTTAAACTTTGAACTAATGTTTTTAATAATAGAATCAAATTTTGATAATTATATGATTAAACTAATGGTATTAAGTTGATGGGATTTTCTAATATGTGTCCTAAGGACACATATAAGAAGTATTAATTAATCACAATTATTACCATAATTAAATGTTAAATACATTAATTATAATAAATATTACCATAATAAATATAAAATTCATTAATAATCTCCATAATTAATGCATTTCACATTTAATTATGGTAATATTTTTTATAATTAATACTTAGGGCACATATTAGAAAATCCCTAAGTTGATTTATAGCTACTTCTAACAGTATTTTATACAAAATTAATATATATATATATATATATATATATATATATATATATATATATTGTTTTTTCCTTAAATAAAGATTGTTTAATACGAATCTTTTCTTTCTTATTTGAACTTATACTTGAGTCTAATCGGATCCAAACTGAAAACCTGGCCAATGAACACCGCTTATGAATGAATAAGGTAATTATGTTCAAATTAAATTTAATATACAATAAATATACGAAATTGATAGTTCTATATGTAATAATAAAACAATAATTTATTGTTTTTATCGGAATTACTAATTCTTTAATAAAAAAAAGATCTACCATTCATTTGGAATTCGAACAGCATCTTAAAAGGAAAACATATACAACCGAAAAATTGATCAGCCGGAATATGAGATTTCAAAACATTAGCATTGTATGGTCAAAACAGTGAAAATATGGTTGAGGGGAAAAAGTGCTATTAATGTATAGTAGAGGGGTCACATGAATATTGTTTCCTTGAACGTTTCCTCTTTTTTCTCAAACAGGAATCCAACTAATGAGGACTCAAGTCTAGAGAGAGAGAGAGAGAGAGATCACTGCGAAACGGAAAGAGAGGGAGATAGACGGCATTAATGGCGGAAGGTCAGAAACCGCGAAAACACAGCGACGAGAGCGTGAAGTTGTTCGTTGGCCAAGTTCCGAAGCATATGACGGAGGCACAGCTTGCTGCAATGTTCGAAGAATTTGCTCTTGTCGACGAAGTCAACATCATCAAAGACAAGGCTACGCGAGCTTCTCGAGGTTAATTACACACACACACACACACTCTTTCTTCACAATTTTCTCCTCATTTTTCGAATTTCCTCAATGTTACTTCCGGATCACAATGCGTGATTCGCGTTTTCATATTAAATTCTTGTTTTTTTTTTCTTCATAATTTGATGTATTTCGGTATTGTTAGAGCTTTGAGTTGTTGCAATTACAAATGCGTTGCCTTATACCCTTATGTGCTTCTTGCTATCAGGTTGTTGTTTCGTTATATGTCCATCTAGGGAGGAAGCAGACAAGGCCGTGGATGCGTGTCACAATAAAAGAACTCTCCCTGGGGTGATTATCTTACCAGATCTTCCTCAGTTCCCTTCTTCAACTCAATTTCTTTATAATCTCTGATTACAAACTTAGAATTAATATAATTCCAAAATTCAATTGGTTTGTGGAAATTTCGATAATAACTATGCTGCTCTACTCTGTATCTACATTGAAGATAAATTGTAAATTCCGGTGAAAATTTTGCAATTACCTTCGATTTGAGATGACCGATATTGGTTCTGAAGTTCTCCTTTTGTTGATATCTACGCTATATGACCAATTTCATTCAATCGTTATAGTTACAGATTAATTGCAGAATTGATTTTGGTCTGAGAGTTATTTTAACTTGAAATTCAGTTGATAATGTAAAACAAGTTCCCTTATTTTGGGGGTACTCTTAGCCTTTCAGCCTTTAAGCATTCAAATATTTAATTGATAAATGTAGAGCCAGAGAGAGCATCAGTTATTATAGAAACATCCAAATGAAAATGGTATTTTTATGAGATAATTGTTTATTAATTGAACTATTTTCATGGCAATCACATGTGGTTTTCAAGTGCAGAATTGTGAGCATCAGTTTCTTTTGCTTGTGATGAATGTACTTGCACCACATGGTTTTCATTGTATTTATTTGCTTTTCTTACCAGACTAGTTTAGGTTTCCCTTCCATGTATGATTAGGTAAACAAGCATCATGTAGTGAATAGAAGTCATTAATATTTTAACGAGTGTATAATTAATGTTCTGTGTTTGTATCAGGCATCTTGTCCATTGCAAGTCAAGTATGCAGATGGCGAGTTGGAAAGGCTAGGTGTGTGTCATGCTACTCCAATATTCCTTCTTTTTGTGTTTCACATCAACTCATTTCGCCATTATCACTTAATTTATCTGTTGTTTGTTCAAGAACACAAAATCTTCATTGGTATGCTTCCAAAGAATGTTTCCGAGGGAGAAGTTTCAGCATTGTTTTCTCAATATGGAAGCCTAAAAGACTTGCAAATTTTACGAGGATCTCAACAAACAAGCAAAGGTTTGATCTTTCAAAATTACCCATTTAATAATAATAACTTACGGTGTAGTGATGTAGATAGTTTCTTTATGGTTTTATTCACCATGGTGACAGGTTGTGCTTTTGTGAAATACGAGACAAAAGAACAAGCAGTTGCAGCTATAGAGGACCTTAATGGCAAGCACAAGATGGAGGTTGTGTGCATTCAATTAATAAAATGAAAGCTGTATACTACTTTATTTAGACTTAGATTAGATGTAACTTTATTATGATTCTTTCTCTGTATTAGGGTTCAACTGTCCCTTTGGTGGTGAAATGGGCAGACACGGAAAAAGAAAGATTAGCTCGAAAGGCTCAAAAAGCACAATCACTAGCTTCTAATATGGCAAACGCGGACCCCACACAGCATCCATCTTTATTTGGAGCTCTACCCATGGGTTACATGTCACCATATAACGGTTATGGATATCAGGTTCAGGTTCAGGTTCTTTCCAAGTGTTTTCTCGTTAAAATCTTGCCAAAAATTAATTGTTAATTTGCATGTAGGCTGCTGGAAGTTATGGGGTTATGCAGTATAGGCTTCCACCAGGGCAAAATCAGCGAGGTGGGGGTGGGACCCCAAGAAATTATGCAGTGTCGCCAGCTGGGTATGTGGGGTCCGTTTATCATCCGCCAGCTCAATATCCTGTGGCTTACCCTCCTCAGCAGGGTCAGGGGATTATGAGCAGTGGCCCACCTAGTCCTGTCCCACCACCTTCAAGTGTCAGCCCTCCTGGTGATCAGGTTGAAGGTCCACCTGGCGCCAATCTGTTTATTTATCACATCCCTCAAGAATTTGGTGATGAAGAGCTTGCAAATGCGTTTCAGGGATTTGGAAGAGTCTTGAGTGCTAAAGTTTTTGTAGACAAAGCAACTGGTGTTAGCAAATGTTTCGGTATGGACGATTTCGCCCCTCCCCTCCAAAAAAAAAATACATATAAATTAAAATTTTTTTCTGGTTGCTCATAATTAATTGGTGTGATGATTGCATTGCAGGGTTTGTGAGTTATGAGTCGCCATCTGCTGCACAATCTGCAATTAGTGTGATGAATGGGTACCAGTTAGGTGGTAAAAAATTGAAGGTTCAACTGAAAAGAGACAACAAGCTAAACAAACCTCAATGATTTGATGTAATACTTAGTTAAATTATGTGTCATTGTAATCTGTAATTGTGCAACGTAACGTTGGAACTCGTATAGTCATTAACTTTCAATTTATTGATTCTTCCCTCAACACCATCATCACTCACTCATATACTGTATCTAGTCTCTTTATTTCAGAAATATACTTTCAATCTCCTTCAAAAATGAAATATGCTCTTAATACAATCATCTGCATTTGATTATTCTTTGTAAATCTTACCCACTTGTTCTTCATTTCCATCCAAGCATAAGATATGATCCCACATGCTTTTCGTCTTCAGGTACTTGATATTTTCCATACTTTATTTTTTTCATTAATAACCATCCATTACTAATACGCCCTGATATTACTGAAACATGATACTATGTTATTGTTTGTTTGGTAACTTTTGCACTGGATAATCTTACTGATTTTTAGTTTATATATGGTTAATATTTTTACACATGAATGATATCATTTGCAGAGACCATTTTCTCCAATTCAACAAGTTTTAATGTGATGGTGGCTGCAGCCTGCATTCAATTCACCGAGTAAGTCTTCTCTTGTGGCTTTTTTATTTTTTTGGTTGACTGGTGAATGATGTAAACTCAAGTTCTTAATGTTCTAATGTTGGCGTTTGGATGTGCGTTTTCAAAGTGATCATTGTCACTTGAAATAACCAGGATCATAATAAAAGATAATCAGATATCAGTTGATTAAAGTTATGGATAAGTAATTTTATGTTTTATAATCTCAATAATGAATTTTGTTACAACTACTTTTAACGTGTTAGACACAGTAATACAGTGGTCATGTTTTGTCTTGTCCTGCATACAAACCACTATATTTGGCTCTTCATCGCAAAAAAATCATCATTCATATGAAATTACATCATTTATTATTTTCTTTGCAATGATGAACGGTTTTGCATTTGCTTCCAAAACCATTTATACTCTTGTAAAATATGGTTTTTAATATTCCTATTGGTGAAGTGGTGAACTTATGAGGAAAAGTCAACCAAACTAGCTCAAAAAATTCATCTCTAAAATAAAACGTAAACAAATGACATAGAACCTTCTACAAGCTCCAAAAATATAAATTTTCTTTTGGCAATGATTAAGATATTTTGAGAAATGTTTGTGTGGTTTTGGTTGATCTGATCATAATGCATTTGGTTGGTTTTTGATCTTTATTTTATCATTCGGAACACCTTCCAGCCACCACGATTTGCAAATCTCTGAAAAAGACGTGTATTTGTGTAGAAGTTTTCATGATTAAAGCATGGAAATTGGGTTTTCTTTTATAATTCTGATTCATGTTTTTGGATTGGGACTGCTTCAAAAAGTCAAAAAGGTGTTCTTGTTTTGTAAATAAAAGGTCTCTGTACAATCTAGTTGTCTAATAAGTAATAAGGTTTTGACCAATTGGTTGAAAGAGTTGTACAGGTTTTAAGAAAGGACTAATGGTAGAAAAAGATATAAACTACTGCAATCTTATTATTATTATTTTTTATTTAAGAATAACTAATTATAAAACAAAATTTTAAAATGAGTATTTTTCTTAAATATATATTTTGGGTAACCAGTGACTTGGCAAATACTTTCTCGAACATCATCCGTCAATCCATGTAGAAAAAGAAACTAAAAGTTCGTTGTTTTTAAGTATAAAATTTAGAATTTTAGTTCTTTTTTCATGTAATAGTTAGACGCTATAAACGAGAAATGACAAAACCTAGTTAGCTTTTTTACGTAACTTGCCATTTACAAAAGATTAAAGATATATACCAAATATATTATCCGAACGTATCAACATCAGTCCAACGATCTAACACTTGGAAAAAGTAGAATTAAAAAAAAAAAAAAAACACTTTATGATGCATACTCACATATATAGTAAATTACACGAATCGTCCCTCATATATGTGCCAAATGACACGTTCAGTTCCTATTTTCAAAAATTAACTCGGACCGTCCCTCGTTTTATGTAACTTTGTACGCTTCATCCCTCCGGATACAAAAAGACTATTTTGCCCTTGATACATTATTTTTTAATTTTCTTTTATTTTTTTATCAACTTTAAATTAAACAAAGAAATATAAAATAAATTAAGATCTCCACTTCATCCTCAGACGTCAACCCTTCCCTTGCCCCCTGATTACTTTTGTTCCCCCAGCTCTCTCGTTAAACAAAAATTGTGGGCATGAAGATGAGACCAGCGAGAAAGATGATAACGAGGAGGCCGTAGTGATGATTACCTTGCCGACCTGAAGCCACTGATCTCTCCTTTAAACTCAGCCTTAAACCCATCGATCTACACATCAAGCCTTGTTGGAGTCGTCAGCGTTGCCGGAAACCTGCAACTCTAAAGTCGACATCGCCTTTGTTCTCAATCCCTCCGATATCAGTTAATTTTGCGAAATATGTGAGGGGCTATGTTTTGATTTCCGATAGGGGATTCAATTTCTCTTTTCTACGTTCGAAATAATCATCCACAGTAAACCTAGATTCAAACTCTGGTTGAGGGCTGTGTTTTTTCTCAATAGATTTGAGCAAAATGATTTTGGGGTTTGGATTTAACCAAACTAATTTTGCCCTAATCCTGAGTAGATTTAGGCTTTTGGTTTTTCCTAGATAGTTTGAAAGCGGGGGTGGAGTGTGGCGAAGGTAAATCTCTGTGTGTGTGGATTTTCAATGGAGGTTGTTTTAGTGGCGGTGGTGGAAAACAAAGTTACCTAATCGTCGTCAAGTGCACCTACTATGACACCACGACCGACTGTATTAGACTGCCAGATGACGGAGCCAGATGATCTGAGACGAAGATTACCATCAGGGAGGAAATTGAAGCAGGCAGTGTACGCCGACATCTCCTCTGGATTTTATGTCGTAGGTGATTGCAAAAGAAAACAAAAATGTCGATAGAAGTAGTTGTAGAAATGTGTTAAAGGAGATCATTCTTGGATGATCTGGTGGTATCTGTTAAGCATCCCAGATGAATTTGTGAAAAATTGAGGTGGGTGAGCAGTTGAAGAGGGAGAAAGAGACGAGAAGAAATGTGGATAGTACGGGGTGGGTTTTTTTTATTTTATTCTTTTTTTATTTTGTTTTAATCAGAAATGTTAAAAATAAATGAAAAATAAAATTGAAAAGGGCATTGTAGTCATTTCATGTCTCGCAAGGGACGAAGCGTGTAAATTTAAGCTAACAAGGGATGAAACGTGTAACTTTTAACCAAACGAGGGACGGTCCGAGTTAATTTTTGAAAATAGGGACTGAACGTGTTATTTGACATATGCATGAGGGACGATTCGTGTAATTTACTCTCACATATAGTATATCATGAATCATTATCTGAATGTTTCTAGATTAGTCAAGCATATATTTTTTTAATAAAAAAAATAATGACTTGGTAACATAATAATTTTGTTTTTGTATACATTTAATATTCTTTATACATATATGACCATTGATTTTGTTTGGATTGTTCACAAAATACTATTATGACCGGTTGATGTATGTTTTCCGGCCAACGAGGTTTTATTTTTGCATAAATTTAGTCACTTATGTTTTGTTTTTGTACACATTTAATTACTTATGTTTTGTTGTTGTACACATTTAGTTACTATGTTTTGCTTTTGTATACATTTAGTCACTCATGTTTTTTTAGAGTTTCATATTTTTTCAAAAATAACAAAGCTCATATTGCTTGTTGGAGGAAATTTACCTCCTCTATCTCCAATCCATCGAGTTTTATCTCAATGTAGTTAAGTTTTATGGATCGGTTTCGGTTATCATAGACTTTGGAATCTAACTTGTTTGTTGGAGGAAACTCTTACACAAATAAGTGGCATAATTCATCAATTATCATTCAAACAAATGATAAATTATAGTCACAAAAATGAATATATAAATATTCAAAGCCAAATGACTTTAGTTTGAGCTGTCAGATGCTAATACTGTTGGATTAGATGTCTAAGCCCATAACTATAATTGATATATACTTAAATTGATAGTAACACAATATTTTTGGGTTGCCCTCAAAACTAGCAACTGGGAATGGTGATTTTGGAGAAAGAGGTTGACTTATTATTTGATTAATAAATTGAAATAAATAATTTGTTAATATATTATGAGAATAATATATTAATTAGAAATAGTAATATTTGATTAATATTTAATCAGAAATTAACTGGAATTAATTTTGGGATCAAAAGAATTAATTAAAAGTGTAGGGACTGAATTGCAATTGTTTAATAGTTGAGAAAGAGGCAATCTAGAACCCTGCATAGGCTATGGACGGTTTTCATATGCCTTATGTTTTCTAAAATAGTCTTTAATGAATAATCAGGAAAGTGGATAATTATCTGGTTTAAGATAATCTTTGATTTGGGCTTATCTAGGGTTTCCTACCTGCACTATAAATAGGGACATAACCCTAGTATTTTCGGCCATCTATTCCCTAGAAGCACCAGCCGAAAATTTGAATCCTCCCTCCTCCTTCTCAATCATCTTCCATTGCTAGTGTTGGGTGTGAACCATTAGAGGCGTGACAATTGTGACTCTTGCTCTCAAGGCATGAACAACACTACGAATTTGCATTGTTATTGCTATATAATCAAGGTATATTTCAATAGCCCTATCTGTGTATCTTGATTATATACTAGTGTTCTAGGGTTTCTACATTGTTGTTTATATTGTATGTTCAATTAGAGAAAACGTAGATCAAAATTATTTAGGGTTGCATGCTCACATAGGATTATATGTTTTGCATAATACCCATCAGTGGTATCAGAGCGTAGGTTTTGTTTTCTATTGAATTGATACAGTGGTTGAACTTGAACAAGAAAGAGCAAACAGAATCGTCATTCTGTACCGCAAACACACTGTGGTGTTCTTCCAACACGACGTGTTGGCCTGCGAAATCGTCCTAACACGGCGTGGTGATTGTTTACCAAGGCGTGTTGGACTATCAGATCCACAAATTTCGGTTTTAAGATATATCATAAATTTGATTAGGATAATTATCTTTAATAATGTTTTTAATTATATAAAACTGAATATTTTTAAAATGTAATTTGATATCTTTATCTTGAATTCATGATTGGTTTTATTTTTTATTTAATTAATAGAATATTAATTTTGAAATTTTAAAATATAACCTTAGTGTTTTTTTGAAAAGTT